AAATGTACGAGAAGTTTTTTTTTTTCTTTCTTGTAACTATTTAGTACGTGTTTTCTCATTGTAATAAATGTTAAACAGTACTAAAATACCTGTTTTTCTTTGACAAAAATCACTTTTACTTTTTACCATAAAAAAAGCTCGAATACCTAAATTTCTTTCACCATGTGGCAGGATTTAATATAAAAATTAAATTTTTTTATTCTATTTTCCTTTTTATTGATATATTCCAGAGAACATCTTTCCCGCATAGGTAGGCTTTGAAATTCTTTAAAAAAAAAAACAACTTTTGATCCATTTTTTTAGTAGGACCCTGATTTAACGAATTCATTAGAACCGAACATTTTATTCGTTATTTCTGGGTTATTGATAATATCGGAGTCCAAATGAATTCAAATTTTTTGCACTTATATTTTGCAAATTCTATAATAAGCACAATTTATGCATAGTTAGAAATTACACGATTTTTATTTAACAGCTAAAAATATTATTATATTAGCGAATTATTACGCTACAGTTAATTGGAAATTTCTTTAAAACAATGACTAATAGATGTTTGACGATCTTTTTGATTCCTGACTCGAAAGAATTCTTTTTCGATTTTATGTAGAGAAAAAAATACTGCGTCATTTACATCTTGCCACTTGACAGCGCCGGTTTATCCTTTGGGCACTTAGGGTGAGCGCCCAGGGGCCCGAATAAGCTGGACTTAACCGTGTTTTTTTGGTAATCAATTTCTATACATCAGTGTGAAGGGGGCCTGTAAATCTTCTGCGGCCAGGGCCCGAAATGAGCTTAAATCCACACTGCCACTTGAGGTATGTTTTCACAGTTTCCAAATAATGTAAAGCGCTAGAAAGCGTAACAGCTTCAATACAAGTTTCAGAAAAGAATTTCCTGTCCTATTCAAAAATCATGTGATAGGTTACACCAGTGGCGCACACAAGGGGGGTATCCTAGGGGTCCGGACCCCCTCCAAAGCCCTTGTTTTTTTCCGATTGATTATAATTATAAGTATATAGTACGTAATATTTAATTAAATATTTGTTATTAATAATTAGTTTTATTAATTAATGCTATTTATTTATTCGATAATTAGTTTTTTAATGTTTTTTGTTTCCGAAAATCGACAAAATCAAAAGGAGCATGATACAAGAATGGTGGACTTTCGACCCTGGACACCCCCTTGAAAAATTCCTGTGTGCGCTTCTGGGTTACACTCATGACTCATCTGCATCTGTTAAGTCAAAAGACCGTCGAAATTTTCTGTTGCAAGAAAACTATTTTTCTGTTCCAGACAAAAAGATGTATCATTTGAAAAGAAATCTTCGATTTTTTTTCTAATCCAAACTTCTTTCGATTGTTGAAATTATACGTTAATTTGAGGTTTATCATTTATTAAATACAGGTTCTTGCATTCACTTTCATCGGCGGAAAAGAAAAATTCGTTAAATCGCGAAATTCGGTAAATAGAGGTTCGGTAAATAGGGGCAAGACTATATACATATTTCCAGAAAAATTCTATGCCGGTGGATGCAATTGAAATAATTTTAAAATTTAAGATAGTAAGTGTAGATTACAGAATAATTGCATAAATTTTTAATTAAATTAATACAGGGAACACATAATTATTATATTAAATAATAACTAATACAAGGAATGATTTTAATGGTATAAAATAACATTAAATTAATGTAACGACTTATATTGAATTAATATAAGCCTTTTTGAACCGGTCTCGACTAAAAAAAAAAACGTATATTAACTGCCCGAGTCCAGATGTGCCGTCATGCAAGTTTGAGTCAAACTATTTATTTAATGAAGCAAATCAAGAAGAAATCTGAAGGACATTAATTGGCTATTAACTCTGAAGGATTGTAATAAATATCATTCAATACAGATTCTAATCGCTTGAATTAGAAACTATATACTTCTTCTGTTCGATCTCGAATCTTTTTTCTGTCTCTTCTTTTTATCTTCAATGTGAAAGTCAGCTTATCATACTGTTAAAAACATTAGGAAACGACACGTATCACATGAATTACATAGCCTGTCCCACCATTTAAGGGAACCGATTCTCTCATGTCGTCTTTTTTCTGAGTCTGTTTATGAATGTAAATGTGATAAAATTACGCTGTAACTCAAAGTTACTCAAGTAAAACATGAACCCATTCACATTCGACATGCAGAGTAAAAGATTCGGCTGTTACCATGGCGACGAAATAATTGATTGTGACGGCGAAAGCGCCGCGATCGCTCATTGAATTTTGCAGGCGTTTGTTGACTATTGATCGTTTTGGAGATGGTTGTGGAAATACAAAATGATAAATATAATTTATTTATAATTTATTTTGGTGTTTATATTTCTGATATATATATAATTAAGACTATTTTATTTCAAATATCAACTAAGTACTGAATTCATAGGTATTAATTGGCCTTTACCTTATAATGTGAAAATTTTTATTTTATTTTATTTATTTATTTTTTGTAATTACTACTTAGTTCCACGAAACTATATCTTATTGGTTAGCAAAAATTTACAACAAAAAATGAATAATAATAAAAAAGTCTTACTATTAATTCACACTCTTTATTTATTTATTTATTTATCTTGGTGGAATTTTCAATCATTAATAAAATACATTTTAAATCCCTCAATTGAGCTGAAATATTATATACATGATTATTTTAGATGACAATACAGTAATTTAATTATATTTAATGAAAATTAATTGATTAAAACGAATTATTCTAAGAATTACATATACAGCCACGTTGACATCATTTTTGGCTACTTGTGTCAAAACTTGAAAAGGTTTTTTTCTCACATTTTAAGGAGCTCATTTGAGCTGAAATTTTCTATACACTATTGTTTTGCGTAAAAATATGATAATTTAATTATAATTAATTAAAATTAATTGACTGAAACTAATTATTTAAAGAATTGGAGATACAGCCACGTTCGTTTCATTTGTAGCGACTTGGGTCAAAACTTTAAAAGAATTTTTTTCTCACGTTTTAAAACATTCAGTTGAACTGAAATTTTATATACACGATTGTTTTGGATGACAATACGATACTTTAATGATAATTAATAAAAATTAATTACCATAATGTTGTGATTCTGTCATATTTGTATTAATTGTAACTATTTAATAAAAAGTAGCAAAAATAAAATTTTTCCTTGTTGATCTAATTAGGAATTGACTTATATATATATATATAATTTTTTTTTGTATTACTTGTTTTTAATATGTTGAGAATAATTTTTAAATTTCTCTATAAAATTTAAAGCTGCTATATGTATATATCTTCATTTTATCTTTATTTATAATCGTTTTTTATTTCATTTAAATTAGTATTTGAGTATTTTTCAAATATTTCTTCTCATATTGTCATTCATATTGATCATTCAATTTTTCTTTTTAAAAAACAAAAAGGCGGAAAGTTCTTCACGTTAGAAAGCGTGCAGATAAATTTTGAATAAAAATATGCAAAATATGTTTTACATTTCCTGTATATTTATTACATATTTATTTGTTTTACTTAGTTGTAATTAATCATTATTTAAATTTTATCTAATTACTCCACTACGGTTTTCGCTATTTAAGCATTTGAGGAAATTCAAACACAGTGTTGCACAGGTAACCTAGTGCTCATATTCACGGGCTCGTTGTCAGAGGGTCAGGAGTTTAAGCCTTAGTGTGCCACTGAAGACCCGCCGTGTAGAGGGGCTGATACGTGTTAAATCTGTCGAGGCTCAAAGTTCGCCAGTTCGTGTAGAAGTTCGGAGAGGGAGTTCCAGCTCAGGTGTCGCTTTCGTCACTTGACTGTGGTTCAAAAATACGAAGTCAATCACCATTAACCCAAGTTTTGTTTTATAGTGCGCCGTAAAGAAAACTCTCACAAAATTCAAACTGAATGATAGAATAAAAATTATATTAATTACTAATTCATCTAAGCCTTTAATGGGAAATACTTAAATTATAATTAAATTTGCAGTAGATCATGACGCTAAAGTATTTTCAAAATAGAAAAAAAATCATCTTTACTTTTATTATTTCCTGCTGATTTAACGCGTACTCATAGAATGCATTTTTTTTTTTTTTTAAGATTATTATTTTTAACTTAAAGCAGATTTTCTATATTCTTTAGAGACGATTTTACACTAAATGACTTCAATGTATTTTTAAATTCATTGGTTGTTATTAATGACGCTCTTCAATGCAATTCAAAGGCAACTGGTAATGCAGCTTGTAATTTTAATATTATTTCAAAGGTAAGAAACTGAACAATAAATTCATCTGTGCTTTCTATTCGAAATGATAATGAATTTGCCTGATACATTTTTCTCCATCATATTGCCTTAACTAAAAGCATGATTTCAATATGACTGAAAATTAAATGAATAAAATGATTTTTTTCATTTTAAGTTCACAAGTTTATATTTCTTTTATTTCAACACATTTCTATTTATATGAATCTAAAGATTTTTTGATATAGAAGCAATTCAATTGAAGAAAATAGCTTTTCCATTCAACGGATATTTATACTTGACTGATCTGCCCTGATTATATGTATTACGGCAATCACGTGCTGAGTTTAAAACTAATACATTTTCTTATCCTAGTTTTTGTGTGTATGATTAAGATTCATAATATTTTACTGAATTCGAATCGATTAAAAAGAGCAAATGTGAATTGTTTGACAGTTTTACAAAAGAGACGTTCGGAAGGAATTGATAAAAATAAATTTCAATTTTTAAACTTCTTTTACAATTCCTACTATTCGTTCACTGTCTCCCTATATATATAGAGAGAGAGATGGATAGATAGATATCTTGTTCAAATTTCCAATCGTTAATAAAACACTTTCTATTCATCTATTCAAGTTCAAATACATTTTTTTATACTTGTAGTGGATGGTACTTGATGTTAATGTAGTTTTTTCAAATACTAATTCATTAATTAAATTAAAAAATGAATAAATAGTAAACAAAAATAATAGCACATATAGAAAGGAAAATCGTTAGATAGCGCGTTGGACTTCTAATCCAACGGAAGTGGGCTCGAATCCCACCTGGGATGGCCTAATTTCTGAGAATGTGATTTCTTTTTTACTATACTTTTTTCTATACTATTTTATTATAATAATTAAATTTAATTAATGAATAAATAGTAACAAACAAACAAAATAGCCCAACACCCTATACAGAAAGAAAAATGGAAAATCGCAAGGGAAATCGCTTTCTATTTTGTGACTTAATATTGTGATTCTGTCATGCGCGTATATACATATTTATATCAATTGTAACTATTTAATAAAAAGTTAATAAAATAAAAGTTTTCTTTGATGAAATATGTAGGAATTGTCTTAATTTTTTTTATATTACTTGTTAATAAACCACTGCAAAAAAAATATGTTTATTGAATACGCTACTACATATGAAAGCTTCTTGCATTCTTTATAGAATTTATAGAAACTTTGAATTAAAAATAATATTACTCTTTGTTGCAGAATATATTAGGACAAATTCTCTATTAATTTATAGCGCACTTTTAACACAAAAAATAAGATTAAAATTTACAAGTGCGCGTTAAAACGATGAAAGAAGATTAAAGAAACGGTGAGCATAAAAAATAAGATTTCTACATGTATCTAAATACTACTTATTTAAAAAAGACTTGATATACCTTAGGAGAACTTTTATTATTAAATAGCATTAAAAAATTGTTACATTCGTTTTCCATTATATCTTCCGGCAACATCATAGAATTATCTTTCATTTTATTATCATTTTTGATCCATAAACAGATAATCATTTTTCATTCCATCTAGATTCTTAGAACTGCTATATTTTTTAAATGATTTTTTTTCTTTCAGGTTTAACTCATTCCATGCTTTAACAATCCACTGACAGACTATTTATAGACTTCAAAAGATAAGATCATTTCACATGTAAATTTCAGGTTTCTTCGTAGAAGTAAGTGCTCGTTATACGGTGAGTATACCTAAAACTTCAAGATTGCAGTTTGAAAGTACAGATGCGCGTTATAAGCCGGAATTTATTATATATATTAATAATATTTTGAAATTTTCTTTCTGAAAATAACAGAATAAAAATTTTAAATAAAAAAAAAGTTGCTAATACGGCTTTCGAATATAAATTTTCAAACTTAAAAACAAACTTTGTCTGAAATTGTGTTAAAAAATGGTTTTTGAAATGTGATTAATCCTTTTTTAATAAAATGCACCACCAATACTTTTCATCATTGCTATGCATGCTTTTAAAGTTCATCCATAAAACAAAATATTACCAACTTCCTGTTAGTGAATCCTTAACGATATTCGCACACAACTAAAAAATTCCAAAAAACAAGTATTCTTATCCTGTATGAATACATTAATAAGCAGCTTGAAAAATAATGAAGCTTTTTGTATGCAAAAGCAAGATTATCTCTCTGATATCATTTTAATAAAAGAAAAGGGGGAAGTGTGTGGGGATAGAAACGACACAAGTCAGAACAAGAAGAATAACTTCAAAAAAGCCACAGTATGCATTTAAAGTATTATTTTATACAATTTTGGCGATATTATTCATTTTATTGTAGAATTTATAACATTCTTGTTTTCCTACGATACCAACAACAATAACAAATGTCTGTGTACAACGACTTTAAAAAGCAGGGAGAAGTCATAGTATGCATAATGCTTTTCCACTTAAATGTTCGAATAACAACCGATTTTAATTGCTGATTTCGTCCGCCTTAGATGCAAATATCTCCGATTTCCCACTAATTGGGATTAATGTTACAGACCACCTGCCATTAACTTCGATAGAGTCACGTTACGATACGAGATCTTAAAGAGGGGCTGTTATTTTAAACAGACGATTCGTTCGTAAGTTTACATCTGCCCTATATAAAAGGCCTTTTAATTAAACCTATAATAATACGTTTCCAATCTATGATTATTTTTCTTACACATTAGGGCTGAATTTGCACTCGATTCGGCATTATAAATAAATACTACATTTGAAGTTAATGATGAACGTTCGATTTTTATTGCTTTCGATTTTGTTTAATATTCTTCAAGCGAAATGAGCAATCGAAAAAAAAAAAAGATTATTTAATTATTTAAAAATGCTCTTATAGAACGTTACTTACAAAAACAAACTGCATTGTATCTCAGGTACATTCACTGAAAAATAATCTTCATAACAAATGTAGTTTTGTTTTTCATTCCATGTCGTTTAAATATATGGAACTTTTTTTGGAAAATTAATTGTTGTGTTTTGTCAATTAGGAGCATGATTTCTTAAAAACTTTTTATTGACTGATTTAATTTTTAATGTAATTGTTTAATGGTATATGTTTGAATTCTTAACAAAATGTTAAAGGTTTTTTTTTTTGGTTTTTTTTTGCTTAATGAGTTAAAGTTGGCAAATATTATCAAAACTTATGGAAAGGTTTTCGTGTTAAATTTCAGTCTTATATAGAAAATTAGAATATTTGTCTTATGTAAAAATAAGAATATTAGTCTTATATAGAAAATTAGAATATATATTAGTCTTATATAGGAAATTAGAATATATATATTAGTCTTATATATAGAAAATTAGAATATATATTAGTTTTATATAGAAAATTAGAATATATATCAGTCATATATAGAAAATTAGAATATTAGTCTTATATAGCAATATAACTGCGTTCAAAGTTTTATGGCACAATTTTCAGAATACCTTCAAGTCAAGATTTTATATTTAAACCACGAGAAAACACATCTTCTCACGCTTTAAAAACATACAGAATAAGGTGTAGAAAATAGCAAGTTTGTCAATTCTTTGGAAACCACTGAAAAACAAATATCGACATGTATCGATAGACGTTTGTAGACAGTAAAATAAGGCATTCCAAATAAATTAATATCAATGTTAAGTACAAGTTTTAGCGTTTTTAAAAGCGAATTATTGGAATGTATTGACATAGCGAAACACACGTTTTAAATTAAGGAACAAAAATTGCACCATTTCCAAAAAACAAAAACTTTTCGTTAGAATTCAAACTTTTACGAGGAAAAATAAACGTTTTTAAGATCACCGAAGAAGATGTAATATTACAGACTAAATTGCTGGTTTTGTTCATTTTTTGAATATGAAGTCAGAAATTTAGAATAGAATTTAATCTCGTATGAGAAGTGATTGAGAAAGAGCTTGTTCTTCGTGATACTTCTCAATCAAATATTAATCTCAAAAGAAATGAGATCACAAACCATATACAATGCTTATTCATTTCTTTCTTGGGAGTATTCTTAAATAAATTCCTTAATAAAATCCTTCTCTATAAAATGCATGTCATTTTCACAACCTGAACAATCAATATTATTCAAAATCAATTCTTTAGCAATGCATCATTGTACCATAAATATTTCCCCCTTGTGTTCTAAAAATCATCTTTTTAAAAAAAAGGAAGGTGTTTTATACGTTTCTCAGAGTTGTACTTATTACGAAAACTTATTGAAAGCAAACTCCAAAAAGAAGAATTTAAAAGATTCACAAGTTCTCAACGAATATAAGTAATGAATATCGAAGCTAAAATTTGAATAATGCTTTTCAGCAAGGGCAATGAAATGTTTAGTCTAAAAAACTGCTATTTTAAAAGCATTTGCCGATTTTAAATAAAGAATAGCATTCAAGTACAGATGGCGGCGCTTAAGGGCGGGGGTGGCAGACGTTGTCGAATAGCGATTCTGAGTCGTGATCCCACTGAAGACCTGCTGTGAAGAGGGACTGATGCACGTTTATTCTATAGAAGCTCAATGTCCTCACGTTAGAGTGTTTAAGCAGTTTGGAGAGCGAGGTTTAAGCTCAGGTATCGTCTTCATCACATGAACAAGTCTGCATATCATTTCATCTGGGTTACCAAAGTAAACAGTAAACCAGAATGAAATCATTGATGCCCCATTAAATTTTAAAAAATCAACAAAGTTGAAAGGCACCCTGTTCTACTCCAAACCAAAAATGAATCGTCAATTTGTTTATCGTAATGATGTACAAGCGGTGCTTTCTCTAGCTCGATTTTATAACTTCATATTAGTCTTTTAGATATAGAAACATTAGTAAGATCTTTGTACCTTGCTAGTAGGCCTTTTATATGGCTGTCAGCTCTTGTTGAGCGAGTTTTTGCGGATTTAAATTATTGATATATCTCTCGTGTGTTGCCTTAGAGTTAAGTGTTATAACCAATCAATCCATCAATCAAAGTTATTTATTATAAAGTTTTTCTTTTGCAGAAAAAAAAAGTTTTCCCTATTGTAACAAATATATCAATGTTCAAATTCACCATTATATTAAATTCTTGTAAAAAAAATAATAATTTTTTTAAAAAAAATTGCATTTTTAACAAGTTTTTGAAAAAAAAATACAAAACTAGATTTTTTTTCTAAAAAAATTAAAAACACTTTTTAAATTAATTTTTTTGAAAAAAAATGTAACTAAGCCTGGCAATTATATTAATAAGAATTCGAATGTATTTCTTTAACTAATTAATATAGTAAAGTTTCGTAACATGTTACTGGCGACTAATTAGACTAATTGAAAACATGACAACAAAAGGTAACTGTTTTCTTCATTACTAAATCTACACATTACACTCTTACAAGATGATAACTATATTCACCAAAAGAATTTCATCAACCCAACTTCAATCAAAAGCTTTTGTATAGAAGTACTTGATTTTCCTTTTAATATTATTATAAATTACTGATCAATAAATAATACAAATACGATCCCAAAACTTGTGGCCATTAAGGTTCAAGAAAAATTAAAAGTTCGAGGCTTTAGTTCTTTAGATCCGTCTTTAATAAAAAATATTGGAAGGTTCTTTATGTTAAATCAAAGAAAGAATCTGAATCATCCTTATGTAGTGTAGAAAGCAAGGGTTTTTTTAGGCATGGGCTAACTGGTCCTTTGCCCATGATCTCGTCGCCGGGAACGGGGGTGGCGGGAGGCAGGTCTCGTTCTCTTCTCATTCTCAACAAGATTGTACAATCTGAATAATTTTAATCGTCAAATATTATTTCTGAA